AATTTATTATATGTGCTTAGTGATTTTTTTATGAGAAACATGGCCTTTTTTGGAAATGCAAATATTTTGATGCAACATGAGCCCCTCAGAATAATGTTTATGTTTCACTGAGACAGAAACATCAGCATTATTAACTTGAAACACTAAAGAAACCAGAAGATAAATAGAAAAACCAGCACGTTTAGCCTTAAAGCACGGGCAGTTTTTGCCATTATTAATGTCTTCATCTCAGAAAAAAGGTTATTAAATTACTAGAAAAGCAATTTATCACTGCTTAATTAGATCAAGCAGTGAAGCAGCCAATCCAGGCAGGGAGCATATTAAAGTGCTTTTGGTAAAAATCCTGAGTAACACCTCCCTCCTCAGAATATGCCTCTATCCTGAGTTTCATTTCTGATTCACAGTAGGTCTGTTTTCAGTGGGATGGTTAGGAACATCCTTTGAAGAGACTAAATGCTACTAATATATTTAAATAGTGATACAGTAGCTAGGTTGTCCACCACTAAGAAGATAAATCCAAGGACTGGAATGTCACAGGCAGGAAATGGGAAGGGCACAGCAGAGTGCAGGGACCTGTCACCAAGTCCATGCTTCTATTACACAACAGAGCAAAACACAGACATCAGAGTTAGCATCCCCCCAGCCATCGCACCAGCATGGGGCGGAAAAGCAGAGCACCCACAACACAACCATCATAGTCACCCTGGCTCAGGATCACAGTAACAGCCCTGTCTCTTATTAGGAAACACTGGTGTGGACAAAGTTGTGTCCTGTTGGGGCTATGCTGTTTCCAACTCTACAGAAAATCAAGTTGGCAGCCCAGCTCCTCCTTCCCTCACAGCTTGTTGCAGCCACCTGTGTGTCACACAGAGGCAGGATTCAGCCATCCCCATGGACATCTATGCTGCCTATGGCAGCATGATGCTGACCTGGCATCAAGGACCCTTATATACCCCTCCTCCTGCACACAAAACTGAGGTCTGGCAGCACAAAGAGGTGGAAATGTGGCTGATGAGTGCCAAGGAATGAAAACAAAACCCAAAGAACCCTTCACAAAAAAACCCACAAGTGGAATATAGATGTAAGTGATTGATTGTTTGGGTCCAATGCAGGTTTTCCTGAAACCCCTGTTGCTCTTAGTTTTTGTCTCTGCTTCCTTCTTCTATTTTCCAACAACAATGAAAAAAATCATGTAAGGTTTGATATTGCACAGTTATACATTCATAAACTAGCAAGATAATAACTTGTAAGAGTAAAAGCAAGCATAAAACTGCTTCTTCATGTGGGTTTCTCCTTCTCCACTACTAATGAACAGGTCTCTGGTTCTCACTCAGTACTGTCAATCTGGTACCTCCTAGAATTTTCAATGGGTGTTCCAAAAAAATTAAAGAAAAAAAAATTAAAAGTAAAACAAATATTAGAATTGTCATTCTTTCCCCTTCCTCATCTCCATGCACACTCCTCAAATTCTTAGCACCTTATTTGGGTTTTTTTGCTAAATTTTCTTCCAGAGCCAATTAAAAAAACCCTTCATGAAAGCCGAGAACCTCATGTCATAAAAGTAGAGATCTGAGTCCTCAGAAGAACACTCAGGTTCACAAACCTAAAAACAACAGGCAACAGACTATGCCATTCTTACTCCACCCCCCAAAAACAGCAAAAAAATTCCCTAAACCAACACTGATAAAAACAAAGCCACATTGATAGAGCTTTATAAACCTGTTAAGATTAAGGTAATTTGGCTATAAGGAGAAAGCCAGTACCAGAGAAGAGATACAACAGATGGAGCAGAAAAACAAACAGACTGAATGTTGCAACTAAGACCAGGCGGGGCAGTTTTCATATCATAGTTAAAACCTAAAAGGAAAAGGGACTTTTTTTTTTCTTTTGGGGACAGAAGGGGCAAGAGACATTTAAGGAAGCTTAATACTGTTTTCAGATAAACAAAAACAATGTCCTGGTTGTGGTTGAAATAGAGTTAATTTTCTTCCCAGTAGCTGTGTTTTGGATTTAGAATGAGAATAATGTTGATAACATGTGGATGTTTTAGTTGTTGCTAAGCGGTGTTTACACTACATCAAGGACTCTTCAGCTTCTCACACCACTCTGTCAGAGAGTGGGTTGGAGGACAAAAGAACCTGGAAAGAGACACAGGTAGGACAACTGATCCATACTAGCCAAAGGGATATTTCACACTATATAATGTGAAATATAAACTAGGGGGAAAGTTGGCTGGGGGCTGCTGCTTGGCAACTGGAGTGTGGTGCATCATTTGTTTTGTACATTCTGACTCTTTTACCATCATCATTATTTTTGTCCCTTCTTTTCCTGTCCAATTAAACTCCATCTCAACCCACAAATTTTATCTCCCATTTCTGACCCCCAAACCACAGGGAACAGGGAGTGAGGAAGTGAATCCATGGTGTTCAGCTGCTTGGATGGTTAAACCACAAGAACTAAGCAAAAAATTACAACATTTAATGGCTTGATTTAATAAAAGTTCAAGCTGTAAAACGCTGAAAGTTTGAACACATGCATGTGACACTGTTAAGAGCATTGCCATTATCTGCCAGGGCAACAGGGTACAGCTGAATGTCACAACAAAGCCATTCTGTCTGTCTGCCTGCTGCAGCCAAGCACAACTACTTCCAACTCCTTCAGCTCAAAGTTGAAGTCATCTTAGTCGTCTCCCTCTCCCCCTTCCCCAGGCATCTCTCCTTTCTTCATTGGATTAGTTAAGGCAGAAAAGAGAGAGAAAGGGTATCTGAAACATGCCAAAACAGAACAGAGAAGCAACAGAACAGATGCAGGAGACAACATGTGCAAGATTTCCTTTTCAGCAGCAGCGGACATGAGATCAGCTGAGTAAGGTGTTGGCAGATACCTAAACTTTGCACAGAAACTTAATGGAGTCTACAATTAAACATCATTAAATATAAACACCCATCGGCTCACAAAGTTGCTGAGCCACAAAACACTGGAGGCTGGAACACCTTAGACATCTTGCCTGGACACTTGCCTTTTTCCTCTAACTCCTTTTTCTAAACATCAGCCCTCAACATCATGGTTTCTAATTGTGGTGCCACATCATGCTCTGGAAATCGATGTAAGGCAGCACTAAGTCAAACCAACCTATATTCCCTATCCCTGCATATTCGTCACCCCCTGCACTGCCCCAAACCAAGTTCCAGTATAACAACACAGACAATACAATGAGGAGAACTGATTGTGTAGCATTTTCCTTTTATTTTTTTCTTAACCTGGCTTAAGATGAACCTCAGCTGGTTGCCCCAACAGGGAAATGAACTGCTTTGTTGAGTAAAGACATGTATGCAAATGAGAGCACATAGGAACTACTTCTTCTTGGAACGGTTTCCGGGAAGTAAAACCACAGTATATTACTCAAGACTGCAACAGATTTTTAAACCAAAAAAAAAAAAGAAAAAAAATCAACATATATCAGTTCCTTAGAGAATCCTAAGATTAGCATAAACACAAACTGAGTAATAACTGTAAGCATCAAAAAAAAGGAAAAAATACTTTCAGTTAGTGCAATGCAGTTATCCTTCTATGTTGTGGTATTCTTATGCATAGGGAACAACAAAGACTAAAACAGAATCCTGATTAACTTGGAAAACTATGAAAAAAAATTACAGCTAGTGAGATTCAATCCAACTACAGAGCACCAATGAAAAAACAAGGTTTTTTTGACCTTGTAGGCTGCTACTACTTTGTAGAGAAACAATTCTTTCATTTTCTACATTGGTACTTTCTGAAGATGCACCTGACCCTTTAAAACACAGCTTTATTTAGAGAACTGAGGTCATGAGGCTTACAAAATTAGACAGACTATACTAAAACACCACTGTATAATGAACACGTAGACAGGGGCCGGATTTTGCATGTACATCTGCTTGCCAGGAACAAGTTTCCCTATATCTCCTGCTATACCATGCCATCCTCCAGCTCTCTGCTCAAGTCCTAGACATTACAGCAGAATAGTTCTTCAGTAATTAGGATCTAACAGCCATTTTGGTGACATGCAGGGCCTGTAATGCTTAGGTTCATTATCCTCTACTTTTAAGGTCCCCTTTTAGATTGTTGGGGTTTTTTTTTAACAGAACTGCCATTATTGCAATTTGAAAGTGACTGAAGTGATGCATAAATTTCCAGAAAATGCAAAGAGCTCAAAGGAAAGGCCATAAAAAAATCATAGGTTTGCAGAATCCAAGGTCAGGACTTTTGACAGTGGCCAGCATCAAAACTAGAAGGATGCTGCAGAAGACTGCCAAAATGAGGTATTAGTCTTTCTTTTTAGGAGGGAGGAACTATTAGATAAATCCTTTGTAGACAGAGAATAGTCACCACCTAAAAATTAAGTTAGGCTAATTTAGATGGGGGCCTTGTATCATCCCCATGATCTGGCAGGGGAAACAAAAAGGCAACCCTAAAAACAAATGCACACTTAACTCTTAGCCTAATGTGACTGTATTCAACCACGGGTAACTCATTCCTCCTCCATCTCTTACTAGCTATAAGCTGGTTACTGCTTTCACTTGAGATGGCTGCTCTTTCATTCTGAGAGAGGCAGGCTACATCACTCAAACTCTACCTGTGGATTTGTAAGACTACACTGGAAAAAGCAAACAAATTCTATAATTTACTGGGAAAGAATCATGGAACAGCTCATCTTTCTGCAGCACAATGAACCTAGCAAACACACAGAGAGAAGTAACTGTAAGGACCTCCACAGGTTAAAAAAAAAATCTCCTTCATCAGTTTTAACTGCAACGTTTTTAAAATTTCTGTGCCCAAGCAATTCTGTTTCAGTACTCCACATACCTGAACTGTACTGCTTTAGATTCATCTCTAATTCTGGACAGTGGTGGGTGAAATTCAAGTGCAGATCTGTTAGCATTCAAAAACACACATAACTTGTTTTGGATGTTTTTTCCACATCCAAGAAGAAGTAATTTATTTTAAATGCTAAATAAACTCACCCCCAGGACCCCAAATCTCTCACAAAAGTTCCATCCACAGAGAAAGTCAATTTCGAAGTTGTGATTAAGGATTACAATGGCATTCTCCTTCCCATACTTGTGGTAACTCTCTGGATCAGTGTATAGGGTGCAATCGGTGCCTGACCACCATTCCAGCAACATCACCATCTCTGAAATAAAAACCAAGAAATATATGAATGTACATAGTATATACAAAGCCAAAAATTAGTATCATGTTGAAAACATCAGTCACCTCAACAGCACATAGCAATGAAACGGCTGTAATGAAGAACACGTAATGAGGACTGCTGAAAACACAGCTACCTTTTACAAGCTGAAGAGTGGTTTCTCAGCAGTAACCTAGTTACAATCATATACATTTCATCTGCTTATCCCATTATCAAGCATAGGTTTGTATTGTAGGCTTTGTATTTGTTTTGCTTGGAACTGTAAGTCTAACCACAAGATTTGTGAATCAAACCTTTATATTTAGAGAAATCTTTCTGGTCTGGGGCACAGGAAGTTAAAGTGAGTCAGTAAAGCCAAGAAGCTCGGAGAGCTCTATCTCCATGGAGACGGAAAAAGGAAAACTGAAAGCAATGGCTCTCTTCAAGCAACCCATGTCTTGAGCTGGGGGTACCATGAGGGCACCACGGCACTAAATGAGAGCTGTCTGTCAAGACTGCAGAGGAGTTAAGGGACACATTTGTTTCCTCTCAAAGCTATCACAAAAGTTCTGAACAAAAGCAGAGGTCTAATGCAAGGGGTTATTCTTTGGTAAATGAAATGTATCTCCTTCTCAGAGCAGAGCTGTGCCGTACGAATGCCTCTGCTGGAAGAATGAGGCTGGAAGGATGCTCCCCTGGCTCAAAACAAGCTGAAAGCACCACAAATCCTCATTCACTTCAGGAAAGATCAAAACCAGGTCAGTCTTGGAAACACTTCTGAATTTCTTTCAATTTAGGTCCCTTACTGGTGACCAAAACCAGAAAATAGCAAGGAACAAGTAATCTACATTTTCAGTCATCATGAACAAAATTAATTGTCTGAAGCTCTTGGACAACATTGTGCTGTACAGTAGAGAACATAAATGACATGAATGAATTTTACCTAAGTGTTACAGCCAGGCTAACAAACAATCTCTATTCAAGTAACATTACCTTAATATGATAAAAGCATGTTTATGGTACAGATTAATGACTGACTTGTCAGTCCATCTGTTTGTTTCTAATCAGGGCAGGTAACTACTACCACAGCAGGAGTACAGATTACTCAATGCATGCTATTATGCATCAAAACAATCGTCACAGATGCAGAGTGAGACCTAAACTGCCATACGCTTACTGAGCAATGGCAGATTTCACTGGTTGGAAACTAATTTCCCAATAAAGCCAAAGACAGCTTGTCCTGGGTTACACAAAGACTCTGATATCCATCTTTTCTCTTTTCTCCAAATATGCCTACTAATTTAGACTGTAGGGAGGACTTAAGTGCTACTCTCCTGGGAGAAGAATGTATCAACCACTGTGAAAAGACTGGAAGGCTGATGACTGACAGGGTGTGCACACCTGCCACCTCAGGCTATTTGTGTCCTTACACAAATGACTCACCTATGATAACTCCTCCTGGGGAGACATCAGGACAGTTCACTCAAATGGCCTGAAGATATTCACCATGATGACCATAATGGATCCACCTGTGCTTAGAAGGTGTCAAAGACTCTTAAAATGTCCCGTGATCCAGTATTAATCATCCAATGAAGAACTCACCAGAGGCATTCCCACCTACCCTGAGCCCAATAGAACACCACAGGGACTTCACTGAGGAGGTCGAGGGTTTCCTTCCCTCACTCCATGGGACTTTTACCACCCAGGCCTCTACCATCACCTCAACAGATCAGGACTACAACCACCATCAGAGCTGCAGTGACCAAGTCTCATCGCTGGATCCAGCGGGTGTCTTGTGAGTCCTTCCAGTTCCAGCCCCGCTCCAACTGGCTGTACCAGCTCTGCAGCCTCATTCCAGCACTGACCCTCCAAACTATTCCTGCCAGGTTTTAACGGGTGGGGGGAGGCTGGCCACGATCTTGTTTTGCTCCAGTGGGTGGGAGCTTGGGAATTTTTCTGGTTTTATCAGTATTATCAGTATTATTTAGCATTATTTTTTTCACTTACATCTGGGCATGTCTCTCTCTCTCTCTCTCTCTCTCTCTCTCTCTGTTGGAGAGAACCAGGGGTACTGGAGGAAGGAGACCTCCATCTGAGGTCTCTACCCCTCCAAATTGTCTCAAACCGAGACAGCTGTGAAGATATAGAAACATATACCTTCCAGATTTCCCCCGCTAAGAGCTGCCTTATGAAACATACTCACAATTTTACATCTTTCCAAGGGCATAGCTTTCTACTGCATTTATACTGGAAATAAAAGCCCTCCGCTCCTCCACTCTGTTGACAAAAAAGCCAACTTTACCTGAGAAAAGCCATTCCACTTCAAGTGTGGATTTTTTATTTATTTTGTCTTTTTCCAAGGAACTTGAACAAACCCAGTAATATATCATGAATCTCACTATAGGTGTGCCACATGCATACATTACATATTTTCAGTCTCAACTATATTCCAAAAAAGCATAGGTAAAAATATTTCTAGAAGCGGTTTGATTCTTCAGGTTTCACATAAGCAGGATTTTTGTTTGAATACATACTGCAGAAATAAGTCCCTATTCCTCACCTCACATGCCATGTACCACTGATATGTTCAGGCAGTTGCTGCAGAAACACAAAGGCGGCATTGAACACCTCTGTATTTAAAATACCATCTGCCAGCTTCTAAGCTCTTAACATGCTTCTTTCCTCCTTCACAGTACAGATGATCAGAGGAAGTTTCCTCCTCTTTGTACTCCAGTCATAACATTGCAAGTAGAAATCAACTGTACAGGGGGAAAAAAGATTCTCTTGCTCCCATCCAGGACTGGTCTAAGACCCTCCCTTTGATGAGGGTTTGGAGTTTCAGCATCACAATTGAGCTGGTAAATTCATATTCAACGACATCATGAGGGTTCCTACCTTTCAAAGTAATTCCTTCAGTGACACTTTCAAAGAATTAATGCAAAGGAAGGAGAAAAATCAAAGGAACTTGAAATCTCTACTCCCTGCTTTGAAGGCAGAGTCCTTGCAGCACATTACAACTAGCTTAGAAGAAGCTGATGGCAGGGAGAAAACGACTTCAAACGTCTAATATGGATACTCTGTCTGGTTAGGAATTTTGAGTTGTTCTACCTTTCTGAAATAAAAAAAGGCTCTCATCCTGCTACATGAAACAGCCTCTACCTCCTGCAAGAGTAGTTTCCTAGCCCTTCACTGCACAAATCTGAACTGCTTCAATGCTTGCACTTCTAAAGAAATAACTAGAAAGGAAACATCTCCAAGGCAGACGTGAACTATAAGTGGTTATATGAAAAAAAAAAAATTAAGGGAAGAAGGGAAACACAGAGTTTATTGAGACTTGTTATCTTCCACCCCAAAGTTTTCAAGAATGAGTCATTAAAACAGTTATCACTGTTCTTCTGTAGAAGTTGTTACTAATTCCTTTACCTAACTATTCTTGATAAGGAGCAGATCACCTACTGTGGTTCCTTCCAACCTTATCCATTCTGTGATTATGTGATAAGCCATGAAAACACTTGCTTACAAGATTAACTATAAATTGCCTGTTTTAAAATGTAATTAAAACATACTTATTTATTGACACAATAAGTGCAATCATTTGAAGATCTCAAGTGCGTAACTTGTTTTAAGAGCTACAGAACTGTAACTCTTTGTACGCCATGTACCTGCATGACATAATTTTCTTTAACCTACGTATCAAGGCAACACCAAGAAAAAGAATTTAGAAAATCCTTATGGGAATATATGGTAAAAGCATAGTAAGCTCTCCAATACAAATATAAGCAAGACAAGTGGGCAAGCTGTCACCATTTCGAAGACCAGACAGGATGAATGGCTGTGTGATGAATGAGTACATTGCATGGAAGACTGGGGAAAGCATTTTAAAAAATGCAAAAATAAGGCTAAACATAGAGTGACAGACAGCATAGTCTAGTTCATGTCTGTCTATGTAAGAATGACATACAATAATAACTCACTACCTTTCCAGATTTTCAGACTACAGGTGTACTTCCTAAACATTTTTCACAGAATTAATTAAGTCTACAGGTAACTAAAAAAAGCAAGTCTGTATCTTCCCTGGACTACTCAAAAGCCCTCTGTGTACCACAGACAGGGTTAAACCCCTGAGTGATACCTACTATACTTACTAATCATGAAGCTCCATAAAAGGTTTTCAAAATACTTCCAAGTACTGACAATTCCACAGTCTCCTCACACAGGCTATTCTAGTGTTTCACTAACCTGACCAGGCATTTATTTCTGGTCTCCAGTTTCTTTTCCTCTACAGGAGCTGCAGGAAAACTTGAAGGCAGGAATTCTGCTATAAGATTGCACTGATTAGATACATGAAACTGGAGCTCAGAGCTGGAACATTACTAAATGACTACAGGAAAAAAATTTAAATTTAACTGATTATTACAAAAAAGCATATAGGTATTTCCTGTGAGGGTGAACAAAAAGTACTTCTTAGGAAAAAAAAACAACTGCAGCTCTTAAATCAAGCAATGCCTTTCTCACTTCCCCAAGATGAAGGGGAGGTCATTCAGGGAGCCCAGTCAGACAAGGCATCAGTTCTTCAGCATCAAGCAGATTCCCTTCCATTCTTTACTCTACGTGAGCAACACATCCAGGTGTGCGTGTGACCACCAATGAGGTGTAATGGAGTAATCTGGTTCAATCCAAGACAGAGGTCCTGGTCATCAAGCTGTAGGAAAATGCTGAAGTTGACCGGTTTAAACAGAAGAAAAAAACCAAAATCCAGCCCCCTCTTTCCTTTGTGCTGCCACCACCCATTCCCCACCCCAACATTTACCAGAGCTGGTGGTACAGTCACTGATATCTTTGGACTTCTTTTCTCCTCCCTTAAAGTTGTCTTGCAGCAAAAAGTAGGTGGCTGATGGCAGGGAGGGTATATGAGGAATCGTGCACATAAATTTCAAAAGAAAAACAAAGAAACCCCTTCTCTGTTGGCTACAGGTCTGGTTTTGGAGATTTTTGCACAAGTC